TTGTATCACTGCTTTAAGCAGTGAAGTTTCTTTGAGCTGGAAATTAGCCTCAGACAACCCATATCTGTATTAGCCTACTCAGGATAAAATGTTTCCTTAATCCCAGAGCTGGAACAGAGTTAGCAATCGGTGATGATTTACCGTTGAAGAGTTATGAGCAGAGCTCATCCTGGCTAGGCGTTTGTACATCTTGCTCGGTATGAGCTGTCACCTTTTAAAATATCAGTGCTTAGGGATTATTACACTCAGACATTTAAATGAGGGATTTGATTTTTTAAGAACTACGCATAATGACACTCTAAAAATGTGTGCCAGATATTTGACTCATAACTCCCTCTGAGGAATGATGTGCAGGTGAGGCCATTTTACCTAAGTTGTTGGCCCAGCACAGTGTCTGTTACCAGGGGTCACAAATGTCACATCAAAGGGTTATTTTGAAGATTGTTTTTTGTCTTTTAGATTTTTCAACCCTGAGACATTTTAGAAACTAGGTTTCGTGTCTTATTGGGAAGTGTAAAATAATACCTGTCTTAGCAGATTCCCCTCTGTTGTGATATGAGGGAAACTTCGTTTCTGAAGGACAGTCCTAGTACCAGGCAGGCCAGTGGCACTGTTTGACCACAGAATTGGAAAGATCTGTGAATAAGGCTCTATGATGAGATGATTATTACCATCATCATTGTCATCATCATCATCATCATCATCATCATCATCACAGGTTTGGTTTATAATAGCTTCCCCCCAAATCCCAAACCAAGGCCTTTATTGTTCAACTTTGGGCAAGCAATTCCTCCTCTCCAGGCCTCAGTGCTTTTACCTGTTGGATGGGAAGGTTGATGGGGCGGCTTTGAGACCCTTTGCTTCTGTGTTTTACATGTTCAGGACCAAAGGCTCATCCTGCAGCAGGCAGTCCCACTGTGATGGGACAAGGGATGTGGTGTTAAAAGAGATGAATCATGTGCATAATTTATACAAGTACAGAATGTAAAATAGAATATTTTTTGACATCTAAGAATTTTTACATTATTAAAACTGTGGTTTGGCTCTTCCAGATGCTTAAATTAAGGTCCCTATTTTGGTCAAGTATACGATTGCATTTTATGTTAATGTTTTTAAAACTGTTCTCACGTACATTATTTATCCACCTGGCCCGAAGTGGAGTGAGGAAGCGGTTTGTTTTGGGGGTGGGCTTCTCTCACTCTGGGTTGTTTATAGTTATACTCAATTGGTTAAACTAAGTTT